ACTTGACCATTTATAATATTCTTGAAATTTCGCGACTTTCGCGACAAATGCTATTATCCGAACACTGAACACGAGAATCCATCTTCGATGTAATTCATTTTAAAATTTTTTGCAATGGTAGCGATTGAAAAAAAAAATGAATCGGTATATATTTCGTAAAATTCGAATTTCAAAATACAAGAAGACAATATTTTAGAATTTTAATACAATCAATTTCAAGTATGGGAAGTTGATGGTATGTTTTGCTTCTACATTTACTGTGACGGATAAATTAACCAGAATACAGGTATGCTTTCATGCCTTTCTTCACTCCTTTACTGCTGTCAGTCAACAAACGATTGTCTCTTGCTAGTTTTTTTCACCCCTTTTTCAGCTTTTCCGAAAAAGTTGGATTTGATAATAGAAGTAATTTGAATGGTAATTGACATTGGTAAATATGTCACTGACATTTATTTTTACTTTTATGTTTACTCTTGCTATAGAAGTAACGAAAATTACCAGACTTTTCTCACTAGGTCTGACTAAAAAAAATTCGCAGAAGGTAGTAAGCATTATTCTAAATAATGCGAAATAACCGCTATTATGATGAGCTGAAAACAATGCAAACGTAAAGTTTTCTACTTGTTACTTAATATGATTAGTTGAAGCGGCATCAGTTTTTAGGTAGGAATTACAAATTATAAAGTTGATAAGCCGCGGAATTAAATATGAGAATGCAAATAAAAAAAATGTTTGTTTAAATAATCTTCACTATTACGATTCTTTTATCAGTAATATCAATTTGCACATAACTGTTGTTTTTTTGTAAAAAAAGTTTGCTGATAAACTATTATTGCTAGCAAATAAATATCTGAATGTTGGAAACTCCATTTTTTTTTGCTATCGTTTATACCACATCCTTTCTAATTCTTCTTCCACTCGACTTTTGAAATACAGAAAATAATTTCGTTGGTTTTTTTTACTAGAAAAAGAAGTAAATTTATATAATTATTTTTCACTTCATGTGCAATTACCGCAGTGATTGCAGCTAATGAGTTATAACATAATGCAAAATGAAAGATTGGCTGGCTTTGGAAGAGAATCCGTTTCTATTTCTGAAAAACATTTCTGACACGATGAAGTGAAGTTAGGATACTTATAAAATGTTACGTCTCATAACTTCACTTTATCAAGTTAAGAAAACAGAATAGCAGATTGATAGCTGATAATCTTGGTCTAGAAGACCAATCAAATCAATCAAAACTGCAAGAAGCCTGGTAAATTAATAATTTGGCAAAATATTGGCTAAAATAGGATGAGTCATCGATTACCATTATCTTTTTCATGTCGAATGAACCACTTTTTTTGATTATTGGATTTTGATAATAGAAATAAGTTTGCTTAATAATTTTATGTTTATCCCTAATCAAATAATAATACGATAGTGTTCACTTCTAATCCTTTAATTTTAAAGAATATATATTTTTGATTGACCAGTGAAAGCTTCCATTTCCATCAAGAATAGACAATGTTCGAAAGATCCTAAATATTTTATGTGCTGAATAACAAGTGTTCTACAGGATAAAAAGAAAGACGATTGATTACAAATAATTGTTTGTAATTAGGACGATGAACTGTGCAGCTATGAAAGGTCAGGTTATCAATTTCAAGCTCGATGCAATGTTTACATCGTGATAATTCATTGGATTTATCGAAATCTTGCGCAAGTTTGTATTCTTTCATGAACTGGTAGAGATTAGCAGTTTCCCATTTTATGTCATCTTTATATCAAGCAGATGCTCGAATGAGGAGACGAGTGATGTTTCATAATTACCCTAGCAACTATTGCCGTTAAAATTTGGCGAAGGCGTGTTGTGCAGTGACTTGCTGGGTTTAAGGTGTTAGAGAAGGGAGTTCAGTTCATCGAAATTGTGTGGGTGTGCAATGGGACGAACCAGTCGAGTGGTACCGAAACAGTGAGATTTTCATTTGATATCACTATTGTTGCTCTCACCTTCTATTACAATTTAGCGTTGAATTTTCTATTTCATTTGGATTCATAAACGTTACTTCCAAAGAAACATTTGTCACTTTGAAATATTCATCATATAACAGAAGAGAACTTGATAGGTTGCTGTAAAAAACAAGTACTGATCGATTCTTATCTAATTTTGCCAGCAAACGAATTTGATAGATGTTTCTATTGGAGAGAAGGAATTTAATAAAGTTTTTACTGAAATAAATGATGATTAATAAGAGTTCCCATTCTTTTTTTATCAGCCGTTAATTTATATGGACTAGTGATAGTAGTTGTTGAACGCACTGATTATATCGTCTTTCTTCTACAAATAAAGATGGAGGTTTGATTCCTTATAGGTTCATTGAGTATGGGTAGCTGTTGTTGTACTATGATGAATAGGGTATAATATAAATCTGGTCATTTCTAAAGTCCAAGTCTTTGAGAGATTATTACACATAATATTACTGATTTTGTCAAAAATATATTTTACAAATGATAAATCGTTTATTCGAAACTCAGTAACTTCTTTCTTAATTCATAGATATCGATTTTGAAGAGCTAATATTCTTTACTTCATATTCCTTTTGTTTTTGCTGTTATAAGTGCAAAGAACTATTGTCTTTGGCAAGAATCCCAACGAAATCATTGGGGATGAATCCGAATACAATTCTCGAGAGGATAAGAGGACGGGGAAACAGATGTAAATACTGATTATTCATAAAGGCATGTGTATGTTAATCGCACATAAACGGTAAGCGGAACAGCAAAATTATTTCCAGTAAGTGATAGATTTACGAGAAAACTAGGCCGTTTTCTCCACCCTTCCTTATTCGTTTGATGTCTTCATTGTAATAGAAATGGTTTAAGTGCATGCTGTAATTGGATAAATGCGCATTAGTTATCTCAGTTGTTAAAATCTTTTTTCAGGAATTTAGTCCATTTGATATGTGTAAAACTTTTCAAAAAAGTTTCTTTTAGATGGTTACGCTACGAACCAATTGGTCTACCAATACCAAACACACGATTTTTAGTTTTCAAAACACCCCTCAGCGTGGCATTATCAACGAAAATACCGAAGGAGAAACGATTCACTACTTTGAACCTTCTGCAAAAAGTAAGTCAGCTAGCAGTGACATTTTGATTAATCTTGAAGGTGTTACATTTAATTTTATGAGTCAGAGAACACTGTATAGTACCATTAGATTCCTGCTTACATTTCAAATATCGTCGTGAAATTTTTAAACTGCAAATTTATTTTATGTTACGATTTTTATTTTGTTTCTGTATATTTTTATCTAATCTATGAGGCTTAATTTCGATTAACATATTGCATCTTCTTAGGGTGCTTACAAACTAAAAACATAGTTTTTCCAACTTTTTTTTCTCTTGACCAGGAAATCATACAAAATTTTTCCAGTTGGGTGAAAAAGGGATTCAGGTGGGTCTTATCATCGATTTGACGGATACGGATCGTTATTATGAGCGGAGTGATATTGAAGGAATGTGTATTTTATATGAAAAAATCAATTGTCCTGGTCGAGGTTTTATTGAAAGAGACGATCTGGTCGATGCATTCAATGCTATCGTGGACAGTTTTTTGGAATCGAATGCTGATAACGGTATTTCTTTCAATTTGGGTTAAGAAGAAAATGAGAATTAAAGTTGGTCAAAAATTTGTTGTTTTCTATACTTGATATCGTATAATCACTTGGAAATGATTCTCTTATCATGAACATTGGAATTGGACTCAGATTGCTCGAGACCGCTCTTATATTCATATGTTTCTTTCTAACCTGATAGATGCTCTTTTTTTTAGCATAGCCTTTGAAACTAATTTTTGTATTTTATAAATAGAAATTCTAGAGATAATGATCGGCGTCCATTGTACAAATGGTGTTAATCGCAGCGGTTATTTGATATGTCGATTTTTGATTGATCGTTTGGGGTGGTCTTCGCATGATGCCATTGACGGTAATTATATATTTTTAAGTGTATATATATATATATATAAAGTATGGTGAATATTTTAAATGCGGCATCTGAAATTTTTAATATGATATTTGATTTTTAGCTTTCGAAAGAACTCGTGGCTATCCAATTGAACGCGGTTCTTATGTGCAGGCATTGCACAGAGCTGCCAAAGAAAGACGAACGAAAAAGTAAACATTACACTCACTACTCAAAAAGTTCAATTCATCAGCTTTTACTTTATCTCTCTTTTAATAATTCATATTTAAGAGGACTAGAAATTTAGTTGAGCATGGTACTGTTAATTTTTCCAAAAAATTGAAGATTAGGGCTGGTCAAAATTTAAAATTTTGTCTGAGATGCTGGATCCCTTGCACTGATAAAATAATACGATTCTTCACTCTTGTATCAATTTAATGATAGCGTCAACTTAACAGGACCTAAAATACAACTTTTTTTAGTGTCTTTAAGCGATAGCATTTTTAGAAGACATAAACATGTCGAAGAAGTAATTTCAAGTGATGAGTCCGAAGTGCAAAAAATGTTGAAGAAACGAACTAAACACAAAAAAAGGAGGAAAAATGAGAATGGTTCAGGTGAAGAAAATAGTACACCTGATATGGAAGCTGTTCTTAACCAAATGGCAATTGCATTTGAGGTATATTTGGAATCTTTCATGCTCAATATTATTTTGAATATTTGATGTTTCGAAGACATAGTTTGTATAACCTGTTTTTGGCCAATTTTTTTGCTTGCTTCTGATAATATCTACAACTCAATTTTGTCCATTACAGCAGCACCAATCATCGTTAAATTCACTTAATGAAGCATCGATAAACTTTGGAATAGAAGTAAATACAGATACTACAGAATTGCAGCAGCATACACAAACCTCATCACACCTTTCCGCCGAAAATAGTCCATTTATTGGTAGTACAGGTACTGGAGAAGAAGAGGAAGACGATGATCTTAGTGCTGAGCAGGTGAGATTTACTTAGGATGTCGAAAATGACTTTTGTATTGAAAACTATAAAGATTATATGCAGATATTTCTTCAATTTACGAATTATTAAGTCAACCCATATTTTCCAGGATGTGCAAACAATAAGTACAGGTGATGAGCCAGAGGTCGAAATTTCAAAATCAAAGAAAAGGCGAGAGAGGAGATTAAGATTGCAAAAACAGTTTGAATTGATGAAAACAGGCAACTTCTGGAAGATCAATGAAATGCAAAAGGAAAAATTTGGCACATCATAAGGTGGTGGAAGATTAAAGAACTGAAATTCTGATTTATAACTATTTCTATGTCATGATTGGTGCTCTAAAGTTATGAAGTAAACTGCTTATTTTTAAAATGCACACAAAACGATCGAAATTGCATTAAATGTTCACTACATAATGTTCCAAAACTTTTTCTCAAAATTTTGGAATTTTATTTATGATTTTCTAGATTTGTTGATTTTTTTATTTCTTTTTGAAAGCTTCTAGTCTATCTGTCCATTCATTCAGTACCATAATATCTTGTTTTGCCGTGACGCAGTGACGAGGTTTGTATTGCACATCGTATAGCAGTCTAAATACTGTGTTGAATTGTTTCTGAATTTCGCAGTTTAAAAATAAATAGTCATATCAGTTTTGGTTATACGATGGAGTTTACAATTTTAGAAGAATAAATAATGCTGTTTTCGAATTAATTAGAAGTTTTAATTATTGGCCTGAAGTTCTTATTCAATATGGTAGATAATGGTATTGCATGAACTCTATAGCCATAGGTAAATGGTGTATTTTGATGGTTAAAGTATATATCGTTCGTTTTTATTTTGTGGTACTTTTATCGATGGCTTCAAAGATTAGAGAATGAGTGGTTCGATTTCTTTTTGAAGCTTTCAAAGTTTTTTTTCCAAAAAATATCTTAAAATACGAGGATATTTTTGCCTGTAGTGCGCTAAAAGATTCTGATCACTGTTACAAGGAGTAAAGGAAAGGATAGAGGGGGAGGGGGAGAGAGAAATTTGATTAAATAATATATTGCTTGATAATGTATGGAAGGATTTTGTGGGGAGCTAATAAAGGATGGAAACGAATTTCCAAATCTAAGAAAAAGAGAAAACAAGCAGGACGAGTTGTTGTGAATCGTCTAAAAGTTCGGAACGTCATGCAACTGGAGAGGTGGGATGCCCTATTGTTTTCCATCCGAAGGGGTTTAGGATGATAATGTGAGAATAGGCCTATCCGCTACTCTTGTGCCTACCTGCCTCTGCCACATACCTTTCTTTTGTCGTTATCGTCTCTAATTGAATTGGATAATTGAAATCCTCATTATTATTCGAGAATCATTCTATCTGAATTGCTTGACAAAAATTGGTTATTAGCACAGGTAGTGGAAACTGTTATCTACAGATTTTTGTCATTAAACGATAATGGAGATGATAAAAAGAGTTAACAATGAGTAAGCCAATACTGATGCGTGCGTGAAGGAATCGAAGAGGACATTAATAAGACAAGTTGTGTCACCAGGATATGGTATGACACTTCAATGTGATCACATGATGTGACATTAGTGAAATAATTCCCGTGTTCACTCCACTATATCTTTGGAAACTTTTCAAATCATCCTAAATCGTTTGTACGTTTTTCCTTTCTTCATTCTTTCTAATCTTTAATTCCTTTCTTTTTCTTTCTCATCCTTCCTCCCACTTTCTTCTCTCGCCAAACATTTTATTTCTTAAAACTGGTTTAATGTAGAGTTGAATTCAGTAGCTGACAAGATCGATGTTTTCAAATCAGTGCCATAGTTCTGGTACCATAAATCGTGGAAGTGAGTGATATCATAATGATCCTAAATATATCTCTTTGGTACCGACACATCATTGATATTTTTAGCATCAGTTACAGCAATATTTACTCAAATAAAGTATGCATATTGTTGGATATTTTGCTAATTTAAAGTCATCTTACTCAAATATGTTTACGCTATGTACTGATCCGTGCATTTTATTTGTATTATTATGTAATTTTCAAATTATCTTATTCGTATTTTATATTTAAATTATCTGTTATCAATGTAATGTATTTATTATTGCAGAGAAGGAGGTGAAAAGTGAGATCATGCATTCTATTTATATGTCAAGTCATTGCATTCCAACTGATTTGATGGGCACAACAGTTTTAAGTCGCCGTTCTCCATTTAAGGTTATTGTTCTTATATATTTTAAATTATGCCATTGATAAAGACAAAATTGTAACATCCAGCTAGTAGTAATCATTATAACAAAGCCTAGAATTTTAATAATTTGGTTACAGTATCTTGTATTTCATCTCATAAATGCTTGTCCTTTTAATTTTCTTCGATATCGTTACAGTCAAAGTGTTTTACTTCAGGTTCATCAAGCTTTATGGAATCCAAGCATTGATTTATTAGCATTAGCTTCGCAAAAGGGTGAAGTATGCGTACGACGTTTACACTGGAGACATGGATGGAAGGTAAAATTGACTTATATCCTTGAATAATGAGAGATTTTTATTAAAATTGCTCAGAAAAAAATCTATATTTTAATTCTGATTTATCGACTGGACCTTTATTGTTTGACTTTAATTTTTGATTAATCACTGAAACAAAGGCATTTTATATCTACGTCTCTGATTTTTTATTACTTTTAGAGGGACATCTATGATGTGAAACCACTTTTATTAGATCGAGTTAAATCGGAAGATGAAATTCGGTTGGAAACAATGTGTTGGAGTCCTGATGGCAGGGTAAATATTATGTTCTGAAATTCAGTCTGAAATTTGAACTACGTGTTTTTTTAATTCGATGTTAATATAATAATTTCAGGTTCTTGCGACAGCTTTTAATGACGGTTGTATTCATTTGTTAGATGCTGAGAAAGGAATTGTCAGATTTACTGTTAGGTAAAAGAGTTAATTCCATTTTTTTGTTATTGCTGCAGCGCTACTATACTAGTTTAGTTGAAAAATGTCGTTCAAAAATATTTAACTTTGGTGGCATCTTCAGCAGTGAAACAATTTTTCACATCTCAAATTTTATTCATTTACTTTGAATTTAGAATGAAAACTCGTGTGACACATATGAGATGGCAACGATCCAACCAAAAGTTGAATATGAATCTAATAAGTGAGGATACACTTTCCGGAGCAGTAAGTGTTTTTAGTCTGCCTCTCAGCACAAATCATATTTGAAATATATTGGTTATTTGCGAAAATTTTAATTATAATTCAAGTGTTAAGTTTTCGAGTTTGTCCTATCAATTTAATTTCTGATCAACTTCTTGAATTAACAAGTTTTTAGTTTTCGAGATAAGTTTTTATGCAGAGAAGAATTGATAGAAAAGTATATCTAACATTTGTTGAGAGCAACTCAGGAAGAGGAGGACAGAGAACTGTGAAGATTCATAACGAGAGTGCATTAAAAATTTCAAACAATATTTGGAAACACTATTTATAAATACTGTTAAAGGAACATGTTTATAGCTTGGTGATTTGTCAGAAAGCGAAAGTTTGAATGATAAATCGGAAGAATTAAATCAGCTAAGAGCGATGAAAGCATTCTGTGACAGCAGCAATCTTAGTGTCCTCGGAACATTGTTATTCGCGCTTAACGTAGACAATTGTGTGATTGTTTTGGCAGCTGGTGTTCTTCCTGTTGCTTCTGTTGAACCGCCATTTCACTTATTTGGTGCATTTTTCTGCACTGAAAATTTCAATTACTTTCTTTTTATTCGTATGAGAGTGTCTTTTGAAAAAGGGTGCATTTCTGCTTCTATAGGTGGATTTTCTTTCCTACCTTTTGTATCACTTTTCGCAGAGATATGATCGCAGAAATTATAAAGCAGCACTGACATTATATTTTACAAGACCTCTGCACTGTTTAGGCAATTGTGACCCATATTCGATAACAGTGGGTGATATGTTTTATTCATTTAAGCGAGATCAGTTGATGGTAGTATATTCAAGTATGGGCCAGCTCAGTCCAGGTGATAAGATTCGCTCATATGATAATATTCATCATCAAATTGTAATTAAAATATATCATTTTTAAAGAAGGGGTTCTTAAAGAATTTAACGATTTTATAAATTTTTATAAAATATTTGAGCTTTAGGTAGAAGGGATATTTTAATTATTAAACATTTTTTTTACTAGTGTTTTTTACTTCGGAGTGATAAGAATTAAAGTGTACTTTTTCACTCATGCAAAAAAATTTTTTTAGCAAACGCTGCAGGAATGAATACTCAAGTGGTTGGTTTCAACATCGATGGTTTAGGTTATCTAAAAAACGGCCTAATATGGACCATTGCACGCAGGTTTGTTCAATTTTAGCCTATTTCTGGGGATGTTATGCTTATTGTTACATTTTATTCCTGCTTATTCTTATGGATTGTGATTGGTTGCTATGGTATTGTTTAAAAAAGCATTCCCATTCGTAATATTACTTAAAAAATTTTTAAATGATAAATTTTTGCCCTTGAATTTTTTTTTTGAAGTTTCTTTTAGATATTTTATATTGCAGATGGCTAAAATTAGTTTTTTATGTATGTTTTGTTTCTGAAGCGTTTGCTCGAGCAATTATCGATTGGGAGGATCAATCAAAGGTGCTGGCGAAATATTTATTTTATCATGTATTGTATTTCCTTTAATATTTCAAATTTCTTAAAAAAGCTGTGGATGTAGCGACTATATTTTGCAAGTTATTCTGAAATGAATACTGATGCCACTGTATTTTGGTAATCCCGATCGTTTTTTCTTTCAACACTGTGTTTGTTTACAGATCTTCTGAGTCATATGAATTAGTGGGAAGGAAGTTTTTGAGAAGTTTTCAATTTTATAACAAGCACGATTTTCAGGAATTTAATGAAAAATTCTGTTCTTTTGGGGAAGAAAATGCTTCAAATTGTAATCTCGGCGAATGTTTTATTAGTATGATATTAACGGGACAAGCAAGTCCAGAGCTAGTGAATTTTTATCGTAACGTACTAAAACCAACGGAATGGAAGAAAATGACTGATTGGGCAAATAGAGGTTTTGGGTCAGTATATACTTAATTTTGCTTTGATTTTTGCTTGAATTTTTGTTGGCTAGTCCAGGAATGATCGCTTAACTATCTTATATGCAAAACTCATTGCACTTCTGCTTGATTATTTTATGGAAACTAAAAGAAGTCCTTTGGTAATTACGAAATGATTGGAATTATTTATCAATCATCTTAAAACATAATTAAAAATGGATAATTGAGTTTCAGTGTTTCAGTGATATAATTGGAAGCATTGGCAGAGAACTCCTTCCTGGTGCAGAAGCATTGCAACACAATATGAAACAGTTATTTATCGAAGTGCAGTGTGCATTGCGTAATTCTAGAACGTAAGTACTTCGAAATCAGAATTGAAAATTAAGTAAATTGTTTTATGTGCAATTTATTCCATACTTTGACATTTATTTGAGATATTTTCTATTTAATTGATGGGTTTTGAGTTATAGTGGCATAAAAGTTCATTAAAGATGGAAATCAAAGTTCAGTCGTCATTGCAATTTCAGTGAAAAACTTTTACCGAAGCGTCTATTCGATATTGATGTCTATCCTTACGGCAAATACGCTGAAGAAAACGATGAAGAAGCTTCGTTGAAAGAACTTGAGAGTTTCCAGAATCTGGCGGAAGATATTATCAATAAAATTAACGAAATGCATTTAGTGGCTACGCGTAACAGGTTTATTTTCAAATTTTCAGTCACGATTAAAGAGCAAAATAGTTTGTTTTGGGTCGATCTCTTTTGATGGATCGGCCTAAAATTATGACTCTAACTTTCCAGTTTCAAGAGAATAGAGTTATGAGATAGTAAAATATTAGAAAATGCATGATCGTAGTAAACAGATGGAATCTTAAAAAATAAGAAACCAATAATTTTTAGACATTAACAGCTATTGTTTTAGAAAAGATTTAGTCAGTTTCACTAGTTGGTTATCACAGACGCCTCCATTTACTGCGAAAAACAAACGTTCCGCTGCAGAACTGAAATTCGATTTACAGTTGATTATTGAAGTAAGCGGGCTTTTGTTACGACGAAATCTGAAGATGATTTTTTCAAGATTAGGAACAATCATTTACTCAAAAAAATGGGTCAATAATGCGAAATAATTCTTCGCATTTTTGATTGCTCTTAATCACGTTTTCCCGCTGTCATTCATGCATGTGTTCTTTGTTTTGAACTTTAAATATGGGATCTCCCTGTTGGAATTATTCAGCTGTAAAATTTTCCAACTTTGCTCCTCTTATATTATTATCCGATTTTTTTAATTAAGGGATCAGATTGAGAAGTCTGATTGATTGATTCGTGCATTATGAAGTAATAAAGTTTGATTGCAGACCGGTTTAGTTTAAATAGCTTAAACTTTGAGCATTTTACTCAATTCTTTGAACCTTATAAAATCGGCAAAAATTCTAAAGGCAACCACTTGAAAAAACATTTATCTTGATACGTTTTTAAGTCACTTTGAAATTTTGATACATTTCAAATATTTGGGAGGACTTTAATTAGAATTAAAAATTTTTTATTTGTTTTTTTGGCACCGCATATAAATCTCATATTTTGCAGTACATCAGACAAGCAACTATTGCAAGGAATGGAAATGCGGCGAAAGAAAGTGAATTGATGACCGATACTTTCCAAAATTATTCGTTTGATAAAGTCTGTTTTCATTCATGCTTTCCGAAATTGACTGTCGTTTTACCTAAATGTTTTCCACTGTTTTATTTATTTTTCAGGTTCTTCAATATTTTGATCATCAAAAATCCCTGAGGTATCGTTTGGATGTGCGAAGTAATGCTTGGAATCTGTTATCTGAGCAGCAGTCTTCGAGAACTTTAGCCGATAGTATTACAAGTTGTTTTGATGCCTTGCAAACTATGCAAGACATATTCCTGAAAAATTTCACTGCAGCGATCATAGCAGTAATCTCCAAATTTAAATTATAAAATTGAAATGATCATGTTAAGTGGTAACCTAAAATTCAGATGTTAGCAGTCTTTTGCAAGATAATATCCAACCAGCTATTTTTTGCTGACCAGTTTGAAAAATCGTTTTTAAGAGATTAGAAATCCTCATTTTGAGTAATATAATTTTGTATTTGATATATTTCATAAGTTAGCAACTCATTTATCTTAACTTTCCATTTCTTTTCGGGGAATTTGGGCGAAATCAGTCGTAATCTTCACCTTTTGTATTTCAGCAGACAAATTTAATACTGGAACAGAATCATGCAGAAGGTTTTGAAAAGTTTGCAATATTTTTGCCTCACGAAAATACATCTGCAAGCTGTACATATGATGATGATTGTCCAGGTCTTTGATTAATTGTTATTTATTTCATTGGTTATTTTTTATCCTTTTGCTTATGTGGTTCTTGCCAAAGACAAATGTTAACTTTTTTTTAATATTAAAATTTTAGTTCAGATTTTTACTAGGAATATACCTGAAAGGAATATTTATGTCGTTAAATATTTTTTCAGAACAAAAATGGTTGCGAAAGATAGCGGATGAGCCATTTGCAATATCTTGCATCGGCGTTAATGGTTCTCGTCATGTAATCTATGGAGCTTCGAGCAGAGTATTGTACGAAATGTGTTACGCAAAACGGTGTATAAAGAATGTTAAACACATTATACCAGAAAATTTTCAAGCGGAAATTGATAACGTTAAGTTGTCTTCGGATGAACAGCAGTCACAAAAAATTGGGAAAAGTACAAAAGGAGTTGATAATATTATGGTATAATTTGGTTTCTTAGCGAAGATGACTAAATTTTGAAATTTGTAAAATGGATTTTGATAATTAGCGAAACAACAACATACTGATATGATGATCGATGTTATGGATGAATTTATGTAGGTGTAGTGCAACGGTAGGAGTACGCTAAAGTTTATTATCCTGTTATTCAGTGCACTGAGTTTTTTATTTCTGTCTGTTAGAGTAATGCAAAACTCCATCGGAAGAACACAAGTTTATGCAGTAACATCTTATTAGAAATCTATTTTTATAGCCCAAGTCGCCAACTTCAGCAAAGCTGTCGAGGATTGAAAATTCTTTCAGTTCGTCAAGTAAGTTAACATCTCCATGATTTATTTCAATATTGTAAACAAAGTTATATTTAATGTTGTATTATGTTATAAATTTGCTTATTTTTAAAATCATTTTTATGTATACAAATGCCGAAATGTATCTTCAGTTAGTTGCCGGTTGATGCACTTCGAATGGTATGGTAGTGGTAGCTTTTATGGATTATTAAAAATTTGTAAAGTGAATAAGGAGGAGACAGTGCTGTTTAGGACCTGCCTCTTTGATAACACAAGTTATTTGCACGAGGTTTCAATTAGTTTTCTCATTTTTTAAGTCTTTTTTATTTCTCGATATTTTCAACTTTTATCATTTTTTGGTGTAATTTGAATGTTATTTTCGAGATCTTAAAAAGATTTACTCAGATATTGCACCCGAATAACCTCTCACATTATGTATTTTGCAAACATTTTAGGATACCTCAGGTTGCACGGAATTTTGCGTATCGTTTACTGTTTCTTTTCATCGGAAATCGGGTGTTGTTTTCACAGAGAATAGTTTTCGGGCAAAATGGTTTGAAATCAAGATCCCTCTTCAAAGAAGTTTAATTCTCAATCGAAAGCAGTCAAGAAGCGGCACTTTTCAAAATCAGGTTGAATTATCGCCTACCTTCTTTCCTCATCTCTTTTCATTCCTCGTATTTTGCACAATATTTGTTGTTTTAGTAAACCAGATTATTATTTTTTTTTGTTTTGGACGTAATGACCCTTTAGAGACATCTTTGATGGTTTGTATTGTTTTTTTTTCTTTAGATGAAAAGTATAATTGCTGAAGCTATGGATGTAACTGAACAATTGCACGTTGGAGAAGGGTTGGTTGTCGGTGAGTAAATTATGTAGCTTGTACGAGTTCCATTTTTTTAGCAGTTCTTCGTCAGCAATATTCATCAAAGTTAGTGGGATGTAAAAAAGTTTGTACGTGGTAAGTCGTTTTCTTTCAATACAATACGGACTTCTGCTAAGTATGGAATTAGAGTTTCATAAAAACTAAGATCATGGCCAACTGAAAATATAAGGTTGGTGTAGTATTAAAGAAGCGTAAATAAATGTAATTAAACGAGCTTTTTTTACAGAACAACAAGAAGAAGGGATGAGTGTTCAGCTACGAAGAAGCGTAAGGAAGAGGAAACCACTAAAGAAATAAGATAAATCGCAGCTCTTGTATCTACCTTCCATTTGTGTTGATTTAGTTAGATTCTTTATTTTAAACTTATTGTTCTTTAATGAAATGTATTCAGCAGAAAATTAATTTAAAATTTGTTTCAGTTAAACTGATCTGATATTTGTAGTATTTATTTTTCGCGATCTCAAAATTCGAGTTCATTTGTTTTCCATATTGGAAGCTTTTTATCAAGTACTAAGGCAATCTTTTTTGTTTGACTCTATAGGAAGATATTAAAAACAATATTTTGACAATTTATACGGGAGAAAATTGTACCTTTATAATGACACATGCATGATTCTAGCGTTATGCATAAAGCATTCCTCCTTTTTCGGATCTCTTTGCTTCGAACTTGTATTTTATGTTGTTTTGCTCATAATTTATTGCATTTGGGTTATTTTTATATGAATAAATGCCAATATATAAACGACTTCATCATATGATAAAGTGACTGACTATTTTACGGTATAGCAGACTTGCCATTATGTGTTCGTATGTTATGACATTCTCTATAAATTGTTCGTATCAATGGATCATATGCTAAGGAATTTCGTGAATGTTGAGAGGGCATTCTCGTATGTGATGGGAGGAAATTTTCGGTTCGCTTTTAGATATTTTAAAATGGGAACCAGAAAAGTATCATAAGCTTTATGCTTTAGCATTAAGACTAGCACCGCACCAAATTAATAAATGGCGCTGCATTTTTGCTATACTTTTTTTTGAAAATATTTTAATAGCTGGAATGTGAAACAACAATCGCGGGGCCAATTTGTTTTTTTTTTGCACTTTAATAAAATTGTAGGGAATACCGTCTGCTGAATTGTTTTGTCATCTACTACCATCAGATAATCGATCGAATGAGTGAGGATAATACGAGCCTTAATGATGTCAGACATTTGGTGCATCAGGAAACACGTAAGGGCGATGTAATTTCGTGAGTTTTCGTATAAATTAAAAAATACACCTAATGTACTATTTTGAACATAGCTTGGATTTCGTAATTTTATTGGAATATTGTTCTATTCAAACAATTCAAATTTAACTTTTGTTACTGTTTTCTTTTAATGTACATTTGATTTTTGTTTTGAATTTTTAGAAATAAAATAGATTTATAGGCCACATCGGGCAATAATGACCCTTTCTAAAAGTATGTTTAATGCTGGTTGCTTTTCTCTGCCGTATGCTTGGAAACTTGGTGGTCTATGGGTAGGTTTCTGTTTCATTTGGTGCATAGCTTACAATGGATTCAGTTAAACTTGTATGTAAACATACGTTGGTAATTATATCATGTTAGTTTTATATACGTAATTATATCATGTTAGTTTTATATACAAAATTAAAAATTTATATACTAATTATTCAGATGTCTTTGATATTAAATTTCGTCATTGCGGGCTTTAATTGGTATGGAGATCATATTCTTGTCAGATCTTCACAACATTTAGCGAAAAAATCAGAACGCGTTTCACTTGATTATGGTCATTTTGCGAAGAAAGTCTGTGATTTCAGTGATATAAGAATATTGCGAAATAATAGCAAAATCATTATGTAAGCCAAATAATTTTGTTTAACTTGAAATGTGTAAAATTTATATTGATTAGTAGAGATAGATATTAATTTGCTCAAACATATAAAAATATGCTATCTTTGTTAATTCTAAATTTTTTCATAAATGTGCAGCTTGCCTATTTTAATATTGGGTTTAATATGTCTGAAAATAAGGATAAAATTCTAGATTATATGCTCAAAGAAGTTAATTGCTACTATTTTTGTGTACTGTTTAGTTATTACTAGTGTTTGAGGAAATTTTTTTTACTTATATCGTTGGTACCATATCACTTGTTGTTTTCGAATGAAGCAAAATCCTCCTTGTTTTCAATTTACGGAATTAAAAATTTTGTGCATATTTTATAATTTATTCTTTGTAGGTATACAGTAAATATTACTATACTGTTCTATCAGCTAGGTATGTGTAGCGTTGCAATATTATTTATAGCGGATAACATGAATCATTTATTGGGCGATTATATTGTGGGTGGTGTCAAAATAATGGCTCTTATTTCGTTTGGTAGGTTACTTTTTGGTATTTATTTAATTTTATATGACAGTGCATAATTATGTTTTATTAAAAAAAACTTTACGTGAAATATAATGGAAAATCAATCGATTACAGGGCAAAATGAAATATATAGCATGTATCGAGTAAAGTTAAGATTGTTCCTGTTAGTGATGCCTCAATTGGAAAGTACATCTTTTACATGACAATCTAAGTTAGCAAATAAATTTGTCGTTAATTTTATATTTTATAGGGAGGTGTATAAAAAAGATTGTTTGTAGGATATTTCAAATAATTAAAGTTCAAAAGATAATTGACGCTATATCTTTGAGTGTTATGCACCTGTGCAAGTTGAAGATATTCATTACTTGCTTTCTTATTAGTATATTTTTAGTACCCATTCTTGCATTAAATATGTTCACGGAAATGCGTCTGCTCAGTGTGTTTGCAATGGTTTCATCTGTGTTTTTTTTGTTGGGTGCTTTTGTTATTATGCAGTTCACAGTACGACAATCAAATCATTGGAAAGAACTTCCTGCTGTCACTAACTTTACTGGTGTCATCATGTTCATTGGAATGGCCATGTATGCTTTTGAGGGACAAACAATGGTAATTATTTTTGATTTTTAAAAACAAATGGAGTTCTTATCATCTTTTTTATTCATTAATTGAAGATTCTACCAGTGGAAAACAAACTTGAAACACCGGAAGATTTCCTGAGTAGTTTTGGTGTATTACCAACAACAATGTGTTTTTGTACATTATTTATGATTGCAATTGGGTTTTATGGTTATACAGCATTTGGATTAAATACACAACCAACTATCACCATGAATGTGCCGAAGGAAGGGTTAGTTCCCTTCTACATTTAGAAGTTTGTGGAATTGACATTAGCAGTTTTATTCATTTGTAGATCGCATCTTGTAATAAAATAGATTTTCTGCAACTCTCTAAGTTGTTGGTTCAGATCCAAGGATAGTACATGGACGAGTGACGACTGTTGTTTTTATCACTTAATTGCGCTTTTGATGTCTTTATTACTAAAGAGTCAGGAGTTCTAAAGTTCAATTATAATAAAAAAGAGAAGCGAACACTGTTAACATAAGAGTTAATGAACATATTTTAGATTATATTCAACGATCAATGTATTTCTAATGTTGCAATCGATGCTCGGCCATTCTGTTGCTATGTATGTCATACTGGATATGTTTTTTAATGGTTTCTATCGAAAATTTATAAGTCGTTTTCCAAATGTTCCGAAAGTAATTATCGATAAAGGATTCAGGTTTGACTCAAGAGATTCACTTTTAAAGATATATACAGATTACAGTAAAAGTTATATTTATCTTAAAACTTTTCTTTTAGCATTTTCTTGATTAAGATATGCTTCCCATATTTATATTGTTATAAAAAATGTATTAAGGAAGATTTACTAAGCTAGAAATAACTTCCATTTGTTCAGCATAAACAGAATTACTCTAATTTCAGAATATTTTGGGTGTCCGTTACAATGTTAATGTCCATAAGTATACCTCACCTAGAAATCATGATACCCTTGGTCGGAGTAACAAGTGGTACCATCTGTGCACTTATATATCCACCAATATTTGAAATGATCACATTCTGGAATGATTGGAAGGTTATTCTTCTCAAAAATATAGTTTTGTCATTGTCACTCTTCTCATCGCTTAAGTACAATTTTGTCATGAAATATGTAAAAACAAGCCCAAAATTTAATATTTCCTCACATCTTTCTCAAACAAAATAAAATGAAATCCGCCAACAAAGAGCAGAAATATCAAATGAATTTTCCCACTGTTATACTCGGAACACTGCTTTCAGGTCTCACTTAACACTTATCAAAGATATATAAAAATTTCGTGGAACATTTTTGTTATAATAACTGGAATTTTCGCAGTTAGTGCTGGAGTATATGCAAATTGTTTGACCATCCTCGAAAAGCTGCAAATGGAAAAATAAAATGTATTCGATTCTTTTTCTCTTTGTGGACGCTATTTCTGATTGGTATTAGTCAAAAGCAAATCGTGCCGGTGATAAGCTGTTGATTTGAACTATACTATATTCAGTTCTTAAAAACATCCTTGGAAAAAAATTGGAGTTAGAGCTTGTAACGAGGAGTATTGTAAATGCATCTGCTAATCTATAAATTATGTGATGATCTGCAAAATGAAATTTTCAGTGCAGTCTATTTACCGTCTGTGAATAATAATCTTCAACTTCATTCCTTGAAATTTTTAAGTTATAATACATAAAAAGTAAATTGCTTCATAACTT